CCCGGTTGATAGTGTTGAACGCGCTCGCTGACACTGCCGGCGTTTTCCTATGCAACATGCGAGTAGGGCGCACCTCTGCCTCCTCTATTTTCATTCCAACGCGGGCCGAACAATGGGGGATCTAAATTGAGCAAAAACCAGTCTGGCGTCTAGTTTGGTGAGGTCGAAGGCATTCTGCCTGCGCACAGTGGAACCAGGAGCGCTAAGAGGGTAGTGAGTGGTTCCCCCTTCCCGCCGGAAAGGGGCGAGAGGGGACAAGAGGGGCAGTCGATAGTCGCACAATACGAGACCCGGTCGCACAAAGCGACCGACAGGGACCTGCGATCGATCCGGCGAAGACGGCTCCGATGTCGCAGGACCCACGGACGATCAGCTTCGCAAATGAAAGTAGCAATTAACAGCGACGGCGGAGGAATGTTCCATCTCAGTGTCATTCCGGCGCCCGGCCGGTTCGTTGCACTCTCAGCCGGTTATGACACACGGGCCTCGTCGCGGTCCTTTTGGATCTGGCGCGATCTTTTGCCAAATATTGTTCGCGGCATCCTTTTTTCAGCGTGCAACTCGCGCCTATGCGGTTGTTCTTGGAAGGGTATCAGGTTTGTGGCGCTCGACGTTTAGGATCGAACGTGTCGGAATGTGGTCTTTCGGAAGAAGGATGTGTCGGTCGAGCGCGCGTGCTATGTATATGTGTGTCGGAAACGGCGGATGCACACCTTCGCGACGAGGTTATTCTTCAAGCTGATTATGTCAGAGAAGATAAGCGGCACAAATTGTAAGATTAATATGTTACTCAATTTATGTCCTGACAGTCTCTCGCGAAGTAGCGCTTGATGTCTGTGACATTGAGAATTGACATATGAGCTGCGCTTTAAATTGAAAGATCGAGAAGATCGAGGAAAAGAAATATTTATCATAATCAGGAAAGTATCATGTTGATTGTTAAAGAATATAAATCGCGTCAATGCAAGTAAGATTTTATATCTTTGGTTTGGCGGTGCATTTGGCGGTTTTTTAATCCTGTGATAAGACAAACTTACAAGTTTCAAGTATCATTCAACTGATGATATAAAAGTAAAATTGCTTTTCATTGCAATGCATTTGTTAGGTACAAATCGTACAATGAAGTTCCTCCATTCGATGTATCCACTGACAGTAAACGAGAAAGTTGAGGATAAGAAGTCTACACATACTTATCATCAGTCGAGTTACCTCAACAATGTTATGATACATTATTGGACGATTGTGTTAATAATTACTCGAATAATACCTTGTTACAGCATTTTGTTTATCACTTTGTTTACCAGGTTTCTTTGTAGAACATCAGAGCAACTTTTTTATCGTATTAGACGTAAAGGCTACCATTTTATCGGAATATCCTTTCTTTCTCTTTCTCTCTCTCTCTCTCTCTCTCTCTCTCTCTCTCTCTCTCTCTCTCCCTCTCTCTGTCTCTTTTTTGACTCGCATTTTAAGCGACGAAGTACGCGTTTCAGAGGGGGAGGAGATTACTATACTTTTTAATATTAACTTCTTTAGTCGAGACGCAAACCCTCCTTAGCCGCGGGACAAATTCTGTTTGGCTAAACGAAACTTTTCATGACACCGTTAAATGGCGCTAGGTAGTCCGTCCATCGCATTTTAAAGAATTCAGCAAAACAGTTTTTACATCAAAGTGAAATGCTGGAATATCCGCTATGAGTCGCCACCGATTCTATCGACAAATTGAGGTCATACAGTAATTCAATGCAAAGACAGACGGGTTTTTAATTTCAACTAATATGACCTGACGACGGAAGAATCGGATGGATTTTTATTTTTTGACAATACAAATCAATAGCGAGTTGAATGATTTTTTAAATTTTTTATTTTCATATAAATCAAATTGCTCTTTTATCATCTTTTTATTTTCTTCTTTACTAAGACGGCTTCTTAGACAGACGTATGTGGTTTAGAATGTCTCACGAGAATCGATTGAATCTAGTACATCTTTCGATGAAAAAGTGTTACAAACTCGATAATAAACATTTAATGCGGCAATATGAATAAATATTTAATGTGTCCGGGTAGGATTTTGCAGTCGCCTACGCAACGATAATTTCCGTCTCACTGTATTTTTTTCGCGGATGAGAATCAGTTACTGACCGAGTAATTTCATGCATACTTGACCAGGATTCTACCCGTTACCCGTCGAAATGCAATTTTAATTCTCCGTGCGCCGTATATCGCAATGCGGACAAACCCAACGAAGTTCGCGTAGTCGCTTATAGAAATGGGTGTGTCGACATACGTGAGGTCCATCAACAAGCATATCCTGATTATCGATGGAGGAGCAATGTTTTCCTCCGATTTGCTATTGCGAATACGCATTTTTCACATTTTCAAAACATTTACAACCTGATCGATACTCTCCTATCTATTCACATCTCTTTGAACTCAAGTACTCTCGGGTAAGAAACTTTTGCTTATTTTCCTTTTTCTAACACACTACCACTAAAAAGTTTAAATAAAATATGAGGAAACTTATACAAGCTGCGCGCGAGTTTCAATGATGCTCATGCTGAGTTGAAAATCAATGTTATTTGAAGCATTCATGGCAGCTCACACATTCCAACCCGCTTTTACTGGACGAACGGAATGCAACTCTGTACAACGACGCACACGCGCCCGTCTTGTGTCAGCAAAAGAAAGATGCAGGACTACCAGAAAGCAAGAGAAGTCCATGACGCGCGATTCACAGCTGTCAGGCTTTCACGAATTAGCAACGAGTTAGAAAAGCAGGCCGGCTAATTCTACATACGAAAGTAATATACTTGGATGATTCTATTTTCACCGGACTGTGAGAGTAGAACGTTATTCTCGGGATAATTACGTGTGAATACATAAAGCCAGAAACATAAAATTAAATACATAAAATTGGAAGAATATGAAACGACGTATAAAAGTAAATATAAAAAATGAAATTCCTTAAATTATAAGATAAAAGGAATATATTCATGTCTTTTCAAAATGCACACTTATGTACGGATGCACGTTTAGAAGCTCATCTATTTACAGTACTTCAGCTTATCGTGACAATAACCGGCATACAATTGAGATGTTCGTCGCGAAGCGTAAAGAAATACAAAACTCGATATAGACACGCGATTTATCATAACAACGGCAAAGAAATAGTAAGGCATCGGTACATCTTGTGTTTACTGAATGCGGAAAAGTATGCTTGTGCGTGTGCACCTGCGAGATTCAGTTATACTGCTGACCAATTCTTTACGTTACGTTACGTTACATTCATTAGTAAAGCAAGAGGGTGCGATTACGAGCGAGAATACGCGCGCTAACTCTGATCTTATTTAATGATATAAGATAAAGAGAAGTAGACTGAGCGTGATGAGCTAATCAAGATGTTAATCTGCGTACGTTCGTAACCGTTAACACATTCATGTTATATTGAACTGTCCCAACGGAGCAGTTTAATTCGGTGATTGTAGCCGTATAAACGAAGTAAAACGTCACGTACAGAAGATCTCATTCACAAGATATCAATTTTTTCCTTTTTGATAATTGGGATTTTTATAACGTCACGTCGCGTTATACCGCGATACGAGTAAGTCTTTCTTGAAGCAACAAAACATTACCAAGTCCAATTAGGGATTCAATTTTCGCTATATGGCGGGAAAGAACCGACGCTAATAACATTTCGGTGCAAGCGAGTCTCATGCTATGCTCACGATGCATCAAAGGAGTCCCGTTAACTGCACATGTGCGACTCCGCGCACATTAAGCAGTTTGCTTAATTATTCAGCTGTTGATGGAGACAGGACTTTAGCAATATTATCGGTACCGAGTGCACGCGCTCACTGAAATATAAATCATACGCAACTCTACTTTTCGGGGAGCCTTTCGAGTGACCTGTTAATTAATTAAGAGGGAATGGCAAAAGTCGCGTGTTCCGTGATATCACCGAGAATCACGAGATAATGCGGCAATTATTGTCTGTAGTGTCATCAAGTGTCTGCAAATAAGAAGATGTTATCAATCGTTATGCATACTTCTGGTTCTTTTTCTTTTCCTCGGATTGCAGACGCAAAACAAAACGATCAACTGCAAAGCGCACGTCACAACGTAGAACGCAGCGGCACAAATACACACTTGGCGTTCCTTAATAATAGCAATCATAAAAATCTGTGCAACGAGAAAAATGGCACGGTTGACAGCCGTGGAATTAAGACTGCACGACGACGATGACTTGCGATACCGTATAATTTTGTTATGCTTGCTTTTATTTCCACCGCTTGAATTATGATTTTACTGATCCGATTCTCAACACGTATACGTCAAAGCATCAGGCCGTGCGCGTATTGTCTGTTAACAAACTTTGAACTTCGTGCTTGCAACGAGATATCCCAATAATTACTCAATTTATCATATCGTAAGACTCTCTAACAAGTTTTGCATGTTAAATGAATGAAAACTAGGAAGTCGCGCGAAAAACGCGGAAGAAGCCGGCAGATGATCACGTTTAGCGCTAGACGTAATTTAGCGTGAACTTTTTAAATTACGATATAATTTACGTGTAGCGCTGTTCTCTTCCACAGCCTTTCCTAAGATTACCCAGAAACATGTTTTGTAAATTTTGATTTTGATCGCATAGAACATTTCACTAACGCAAGGAATAAATAAATCGAACGAGTCCAACTCTTTGCCCCGCGAGGGTCTCTCAAAGCACGAAGTTGTGATCTGAAAATTTCGGCGAGTGAATTTGTTTGCGCGGCTCGCCACTTCTGCTCTGCTCTAGATCTGCCGAAAAATTTCACCTGCGTTAATTTCAAGAAACCGATGAAACGTGGACTGCGGCCCGACGGTGGTATAGTACCGGCCGTACAGGTAGACACGCTTCGCCGCAGAAATTGTTGGGAGAAAGAGAGAAAGACTCACGGTAGTGGGGAAAGGCTGCTCTATAGAGCACGAATGGTGGTAGAGAACCGGGCATGGTGGAAGTCAGCCACGAAGACGTGACGTACATACTCGGCAGTGTACAGTGCACCATGGTGTGTAGCTATGGCATAGTTAAAGTGGGAGAAACCCGCGTATGACCGTCCTCAGCCGTGAGCCAGTCCCGTGTGAACGACCGTGAAGTGAACCTCGGATGGTGTGCACACCTGAGGACCTTGACGCTGCAGGATAACAAGCGATGGCGACACTGACCGAGGAAAGTAAACGATCGTCATCGGTGCGCTCTCCCGCGATCGGCCAATTTTGATGAAGAAAAAGAGAAAGAGAGAACAGGGCATCACGTGTTACATTCGTTTTTCTACGGAGAAATTCGTCGGTCCAGATTTCACGTGGACCTCGTTCGGCAATGTGCGTTACGTCTCGCGAATGTCTGCATTGTGAATCGAGCGCGGTGAAATTCCGTATCTCGAATGTAAGGCGCGAGACGGAGGACCTCTGCCGCCCGAACGATAATTAGCTTGATAATTGCTTGATATTTGCTTTACGTGAAACTGGTGGCGATATTTGCAAAGTGCACGCGACCAGCTGTCGCGTTTGAAAGTGATCATCGACTTATGAATCAATTACCTACCTGTTGATATGTTCCGCATTTCAGTACTGAAGAGATATTCCGTGTTTCAAATGAGAAGGCTCATTTGAATTTTTAATCCGCTATTTAATTGTTGATTTTTAAAGCTGACGTGCTAACATTTCTCGGGAACTGTACTAGGTGCCGATGTGTCGGTTATTCCTTATTGAATTTACATGATTCTCTCTCCGATTACACTGCCTACACATTTTCACTCGTGACAGTTATCTTGAAAAGGTGATTTACTAGTTTTTTTCGTGGACCAAGAGAAAATTACGCGAAAAAAGCTCCAGCAGTGAAAAAACAGTGAAGCCTTTCACATTAATGTTCAGCGAAGTCGCAAGATAAAACGACAAGGCAGTGACAAGTAAACAAGACCAAGTGTCTAAGACGAGCTTAAGCTTTTCCTCGGTTATTAAGCTGAAGTCCGGTGCGGCACTTTGGCCGAAAACCTGACGTGTATACCGGACCGATTCACCGCCAAGTAGGTCAACCAGTGTGTGCGAGAGTGTGAGACTGAGTTGGAGGAAAAAGGAACGAGAGGAAGGATTAGTAAGAGGAGGAGGAGGAAGGAGACGAAGGGGGAAAGAGAAAGAATGGCGTGCCGTAGGCAGCGTCCGTGAAGTCGGCTCTCCTGATGCCCGGCGGCCTGCTGTAAGCTCGCGATCCAACATGGCGAACATCGGTAGTCATCACTGCTCATTTCGAATCGACTGCGAGCGACCCGGGTGCATCAAGTCCTGAAGGAGAAGCCCGCGCGATATCGCGTCCTTGACGTATCTTTCATCTCGCCAAAACGAGCGGGCATTGCGGAGACAGCTTATGGCGATCATGGCGGGTCCGATGGGGTCGAAGGTCCTCGTGACCTTGACGATCCTTGCTCTGTTGTTCGGTAAGTTCGAGAAACGTTGGGATAGGGTAATGAGCCGGGAGAAGAGGGATGGGATTGGTGCGATTAGACGGGATATGATACTCGTGTTAAACACTCTGCGTGATTCCAAAATAAATTGAGATTTATGCGAACAGCTTAATTGCAGCGCGCTAAATGCATCCTATTTCTACTCGCGTTAAACGCAGCTTTATTAATGGCCACGCGCAAACAAACGGTGTGGTTACTCTCAACTTGATCTATAGCTACAGTTCATTTCATTATAAGGATAATTACAAGTAACGCAAGATTAAGCATGATACAATACAACTGGAAGTATTCTGAATTGCAAATTAAATTCTGGTTTATCGTCTAATAATTGCATAAATCATTGAGCTAGTTAGACGAAATATTGTGGTAAAAATTGCAACCAAATTGTCTGATCTTAGAATATATAAGAATCATGACCAAAATTACAATATATATTTGTTTCAAAATGTTGTTTATATTTGATTCTTTGCCACAAAATTATTATAATTGAGAGAAATATAAGGTCAGTGAAAGAATCATGCAGATATTAATTGTGAATAATTTTTAGAAAAGGATTTAAAATTATTGTAATTATTTGATGATTTTTGGACCTTTTAAATTCGGTAGACCGTCAAATTTACTATTTATGCAGTAATTTACACTATAATATCAGAGTGTAATCCAGCTTTATAGAGGAAACATTGTAAAATGGGATACAATCTTAACGTAATTTTAACTATAATATTTTTTCCGCGTGCACAATGTAAAAATATAATTTTTGAAAAATGTGCGTGGTGCGATACATGTATGGAGACATCAATGATCGCAGCGTGCCGTCGCCACACAAGACAGTTAACAAGACACTTATGTGCACTGGCACTGTCTGGAACGCTTGTACGTCGGGCGATCATTGTAACTTACAGAAAAACTCAAGCACGTTGAACCTGTCCGATAGGTTTTCGAAGCGGCCACGTGTCGGTGAGTTCGAAACCGGTATCTTGAACTCCACCGAAAATTTCAGGAGGTTCAAGAATGCCGTGCCGACGCCTCGTCAAATGCCGTGCGGTTGAACGATGCAGGAGCACTTAATCCCTGCGGGAATATTTCTGGAGAAAACTAAAACCGGTATTCATAGTCAGGTCCTATATTTATAAGAGTGTCCTAAATTCATCTTCAGATGCTGTACGGATCATTTTATTGGCTACAGAGTACCTGAAGGTGAACTTAAGATGGTCTTAAGGGAACTGGAGGGTCAGATTGCCTGAAAATCATGCTTGTTTTTCACAATTTTGTATGACAAACTGAATAAATATGCGAAAGTGTTATTTTGACGTGTATTTATATAACATAAAGAGAAGAAAAATATAATTTTGATGATTAAATACTCAGTACAAGTGTATGGTACATGCAGTTAAAATATATATCGTTTTTCTTTTCAAGATCGTCATTTTGCAATAATATCTTGACTCTCGATGGTTCAATTAAGCTGAATATTAGGTAGAAAATTTCCGTAAGCTTGTCGTTATTGTGTAAATCACTGACAAACTCGTGAAAATATTTAATTAATTTATTTACTATAAGATATTTAATATATTTATTTACTATATTTATAAATATTAATTTTTTTACTATAAGAGAACTGAAAATTTAATAATATTTCATTAAGATATTTGCAATTTTGTTAACTTTTACTCAATTCCTATTATAATGATTCACACGTTAACGACAATCTTACGGAAATTTTTTATCTAAATTTCAGCTTAATTGAACCATCGAGAGTCAAGATATTACTGCCTTGAAAATGACGATCTTGAAAAGAAAAACGAAATATATTTTAACTGCATGTACCATATACTTAGATTGAGTATTTGATCATCAAAATTATATTTTTCTCCTCTTTATATGTTGTATAAATACACGTCAAAATAACACTTTCGCATATTCATTCAGTTTGTTATAAAAATTTGTGAAAGAACAAGCACGATTTTCAGGCAATCTGACTCTCCAGAACTTTAAATATAAAACGATTATTAATATCGAGCTAAGACTATAAGATCAGGTTTTTGTGTCGCTCGATCTCTTCTCTACTTCTAAATATCGTCCGAAGGAATTCGTAACTAAACTTGTTTTCCTACGCTTCTTTCTGAAAGTCATCGACACATCATGTGTTGCGTTGTATATTTCAACAGAAATTTTAACAGACTGTCATTTTTTTCACTAATTACACATTTATTAATGTATTACTAATTCTTTGCTGAATAATTACAAAAGCATTGAAAGTCTAGGTCTGATTAAAGTAACTAAAACAAATGTATCGTGCAGTTGAGTGTGCGCGCTAATGTTCATTATTTTGGAGAAAAGTAAAAAATTTATGTGGGTGCGACGCGATGCACATGAGTGGAAACGCATCCGGTTTTGCGCAGGGATGTGTGCGTCGGTGTTACCTGAAAAGATAAGCGCTTTAGTGTGCACGCCGTTTTGACATACGCTCGGTTTTAATTACGTGAATCGTAAAATCCGGTTCACAAGTACGTGGGACAAACGCATGCAGTTACAAAAATATTCGATGATACGACGACGATAATCCCAAAGTTGCAATCTCCGCACAGAGGTAGACGAATAAATAGCCGTAATAAATCGCCTCAGCTTATCACGTGAAAATAAAGACGTTAAACCTGTAGAATACAATCATGGGTCTTTCAAGTCCAGCGGATTTTTTTCTTGGAAGTTTCTCGAAATGTCGAAGAGTTTCCACTCCTAATCCCCCTCCCAAATAACACTTAGTAGGGAGGGTGTTTTAGAAACTTGAAAGAATATCCATGAATTTTTGCAGATTTTTTAAATCATTATAAATAGTTGAAGTGATCGTCGGATTTTAAAGACCCATTATTGTATACCTATTTTTATTGATTCAAATAAAATTTTATTTGATTAATCAAAAAATTTGTTTGGACTATTCCAAAAAAAATATTTATTTGATTCAACCAAATCGTTCTTTCTGTGTATGCAGTTCTCTTTTCTCTTTTTGAAATGATTAGCTTCAGCAAAACATATTTCCTTGATCTTAAAATATACTCGCAGATTTTACGAGAAAATCTGCGAGAAAATTTTACGAGCTCATGACAAAAATATTATAACGCATTATCGGAGAAAAATGCGGTTTGACTTTATGTAAAGTAAACAAACCGAAATTTTCTTTTAATTTAATATTCTGGTTTAGAATGCTAAACTTATTATGATTCAGAAAGTGTTTTAGATAAATTTTATGCTTGTGATGAATTTATGATATATTACTTATACGAATATATAAACTTACGTATATAATATTGTACGTATATAATATATACTTAGACGAATATATAAACTTATAATATATTTGAATTAAATAGGTGGTGCCCTTTTTCACATTATATTGCAAGGTAGTTTACCTTTATTAAAATAAAGGTAGTGAAACTTTAACATAAAACATAAGCTGTAAAACAGATAGTTGGGAAACGTTAAAAAATGAAGGTAGTAGATATACAAATGCACGAAGAGGATTGTTAAAAGAGAAAAACTGAAGGAAGCACGAGATACTCAGAGATTTAAACAGTTCAACTTTTGCTTATTTATGAAAATAAAATGATCAATTAAACAAAATTTATGCTACGAGGATAAAGGCATCGTTAAAGAAGAATACAATGTAGCAAGTTACAAGCGTATCCGGCTAACTTCGCGGGAGAAAGCTGCTGGCATGACACGCGTTTATACATTCAGGCTCGTATCTCTCGAAGATTCATCAGCTCAAAAAGTCGGCGACGTTTACGAAATGCATGCATGCGCGCGTGATTTGTCAATGCTGCTTTAAAGCCCGCATAAAACTGTAAAGATTAAGCAAATCATCTGCACACTCATTGCGATTTGTTTTCGACGTTGCCGACACGCGCTCACCAAACGAACAAACCAGACATACGTAACGTCAATGTTCGCTGATGACACAATACACTGCACATAGAAAAGTACTGTGTTGAGACCATTATTTACTGCATATCCTTTTTTATTTTTTATATCTCATTCCTCCATTGTCATTTAAAATTTTCTTATCTTTTATGAGAGAGAGAGTATTTGTATCTCTATTATTTTTATTTTTTTTCATTTCCCTTTTTGTACGTATGATCACTTATCTTATTTCTCCGACTTTTTTCTCTACGTGACGACTGCCTACATTAATATTTTGCACTTGTATGTTGCTTTGAAAGGATTTGATGCTAGAACATAAATAGTATTCTATTCTATTCTATACTATATTCAAGTGAATTATATTTAATTCAAATATATTATAAGTTTATATATTCGTCTAAGTATATATTATATACGTACAATATTATATACGTAAGTTTATATATTCGTATAAGTAATATATCATAAATTCATCACAAGCATAAAATTTATCTAAAATACTTTCTGAATCATAATAAGTTTAGCATTCTAACCCAGAATATTAAATTAAAAGAAAATTTCGGTTTGTTTACTTTACATAAAGTCAAACCGCATTTTTCTCCGATAATGCTTTATAATATTTTTGTCATGAGCTCGTAAAATTTTCTCGCAGATTTTCTCGTAAAATCTGCGATAAGTATATTTTAAGATCAAGGAAATATGTTTTGCTGAAGCTAATCATTTCAAAAAGAGAAAAGAGAACTGCATACACAGAAAGAACGATTTGGTTGAATCAAATAAATACTTTTTTTGGAATAGTCCAAACAAATTTTTTGATTAATCAAATAAAATTTTATTTGAAACAATAAAAATATTTATTTGCGGTTTAGTTCCAAAGAAATATTTTTGTTGTGTCAACCAAATAATTTGTTTGGACTATTCTAAAGAAATATTTACTTGATTCAATAAATCGTTCTTTCTGTGTACACATTATACAAGCGTTCAGTATCTAGATTGAGTCATCTCTCTCAAATACTTTTGCATCAGTATTTTTTTACAGAAGAAACAGCTGTCAT